CAGTGCCCACCTGGGCAATCCAGTCTGCTGACACAATGTTCTGACAAGTCCCCTTTCATATTTTAGTCTGGCTTCTACTGTAATCTGATAGTCTTGGGATATACTGCCACCCTTCAGTTGTAGTAGTAGCAGCAACCCTTACAAAATAGCTCATTCCAGGTCATAGGCCTCTTGTGACTCAAATCCTCCAGCTTCACCCCAGCCAGCTGCTAACGGCCGGCCATGTGCTTTCAGGTCTTGTATGGGGACCAGGTTAAATTCTGGCCTGCACTGCAAATAACTAAAATAATAAGAAATTGTTGAATCAAAGACAGGACAGACTGTATCACTTTAAAGTGTGGCTGAAAGAACATCTATCTAGTTCCATTTATCTCAGCTGAAGATAACAATTAATCTCAACTACATCTGTGCAAAGCAACAGAGCAGCGTTTTCTTTTATAGTATCAAACAGGGCTGTAGGGGACTCAATCTATTGTACCTGCACCACATCTCAAACAGCTATCAATTACTTACTCTAGTTTTTTTGCCCCAGAACTTTTATCAGCTTTTTCATCAACAAAAACAGAAGTTGCTGGAAAAGCTCAGCAGATCTGGCAGCATCTGTGAAGAGAAAAATCAGAGTTAACGCTTAGGTTTGGTGACCCTTCCTCAGAACATAAGCTTTTCCTTTTACAGTAAAGATCTAAATTTCCTTTTGAAAATCACTACTGAATCTGCTTCTGTCTTTTCAGGTAATGCATTGCAGATCTAACTTGCTGACATAAACTTTCATTAGCATTTTTTTAAAAAATAAAGACCCTTTAAATCTGCAGTCTTCAGTTAACAAACCACCAACCAGTGGAACATCAGTTCGCATCAAAATCTGTCATGGTTTTCAATCACTTTTTGTTAAATCTCCCCCTCAACTTTCTCCAACTAGTCCAATCGCAGCTTCTCTAGACACTATAAAAACATCTCATCTCTGGTATTCATTTAAAGTGCATCTCCTCAGCACTGTCTCCACTGTCGTTCTCAAAAGGTATTGACAAAAAAAGTGAGGTAATGCCCCACTCAAGATCTAATTAGTGATTAATATTACTCCCTTGCTTCTATATTCTATGCCTCTATTAATTAAAACAAAGGATCCCATTTGTATTTTAAACACTCATCCACTAATCCCCTTCAAAGATACGGATATAGAGAACTTTGAGGTTTCAGGAAGTTCAGTTATTATAAGAAACTAGAAGCTTGGGTTTATTTTATTAAAATTGGAAAGTTGGAGGGGTTACCTGATAAAGATCTTCGTGATATGAAGTATTATAAAATAGACAAAGATTTGTTTCCATCTCACTGAATAGTGGAAGTACATAAATTTAACAATCAATATAAAATTTGATTGAAGGTAGAATTCTTTCTCTAACAACATGGAATAACATAAAATCCTCTGCCACAAACTGTTTTGATGCAGATCAAGTTCTTTTCAACGGAATTGGACTGATTGAAAATGTGAAATACCTGTACCAAAGATCATGGGGAACAAAGTTGGGTGGAATTGGAGTTGATGACCTTGCAATTTGAAAATAAACAAATCTTAAGTAGAGTTATATTTTTGGAATATCACACCACAATTCTTACTGCAAAATGTAGTAGTGATAGGGAGAATTGCATGTCCTCATTTTCAGTCTTGGACTTCAGCATCGCAGGGTACAACTTCTTTCGGAAGACCCTGCTCCCAGGAAGCCAAACATTACAATACCATACTTTTGGCCATTGTTCTGAAGTTACATGGATAGTTGCCTGTTCAACAATTAGCAAATATTTGTGGTCTTCAAGGATTTGTTGAAGATAAGTAAAAAACACAGTTCTGGAAATATTTAGGACAGATAGAAAATGTTTGTGATCTACAAGAATTTGTTGAAGACAAACGAAAATAGACAATTCTGGAAATATTCAGGACAGACAGCAACTGCAGATGGAAAAACAAAGTCAATGTTTCAGGCCTAAATCCTAACAGGTCATCAACATGACAATTACTTTTCACTCGATACATGCTGCAAGACTGCCTCCGAATTTTCTATATTTAATTCGGACTTCCAAAATCAGCAATATTTTGCTTCTGTTTTAAAACTTTTTTTCTGATGAGATAACAAGAGAGGGTTGATGAGGATATTGCAATTGATGTGGTGTGCACAGACTTCCAAAAAGGTGCTTGAGGAAGTAAGTGTCACATAATGGGCATCGTTAGACATCAGGGAATGAAAGAGACTGTGCCACAACGGATACAAAGTGCCTGCGTGACAGGAAACAGTACTGGTTAACATTTCTTTTTCTGCAGAGGAACTTAAATAGTGGGCTTCCGGGGGTGGGGGAGGGTCAGCATTAGGACCTCTGCTTTTCTTGATATACATGAACAGCAGAACAATTGCAGGGCAATGGTTAAAAAAAAGGTGGGAGAAGTGGGACTAAATTAGTTGCTCTTGCATGCAGTCAGCATGGACATGACAGGCTGACTGGCCTAGGATGCTAAGCAATAAAGTGATGACATAATTTTGTGCTAGATTGCATTAGAAACATTAAAACATTATTCAGTCAGTAATTCTAGTTAATGGTTATTCTGTGGCAGATGAAGGTCAAAAAAAAGGGATGAGAAGATTGGTAAAATAATTGGGAACAATGGAGAACTAAAACTAACATTTACATTTTGTAAAGCATGGAAAACAAATTGCTTTTTCTTCAACACGAAATGTTTTTGGGCAGGAAAGTCAGTTCAATAGCGGATGGGATGGAAGCTAACACTTGAGTTTTGACAATGGTGAACCCGAAACCAATGTGCTTGACAATCTCCATAATGGAGAACTCACATGTAAAACTTACGTTTAAAAAACATTGTGCAGCAAAATTTATACATAATTGCAAAGACCACAACACTAAAATATAAAACAAAATAATTACTAAAGGAGGAATGGATTGTGTACAATCATATTCATCTTTGCTTTGTATTAAGCATAATTTGGTAATGGTGGACAACTGACTAGAATGGCAAGTGGACTTTAAGACAAGTTATTGACTGAAGGAAATGACCACAGCTCAAGTCCTTCAGTTGGGCTTTTATTATGAATGACCCAATACAGTACAATTCAGTACAGGCAAAGTACATTTGTGCTATTTAATCACACTCAGACAAAAATCAACTTTTAACATTCTTCTCATTTTTTCCATTTACTATTGGAATTACTTACTCACAAGTGCTAGCCTTGGAATGAACTATTTTGTACTAATGCTCAAAGCTCAGTGATTTTATTTTAAGAAGTGGGGAGAGATGTAGGCTATAGGGATGGAGAAAGATTAAAAAAAAATGTGAGTAAGCTTTGATGGAATCAATTGGATGGTCTCTGCACCCTGCCCCTTCTCATCAGTCCTGAGTGTATGCAATTCACACTAAGTTAAATGAGCCTTTCCTCTTTGAACGCCTTTGACCAATTAAGTACTACACTCCTCAGTAGTATATGTTAACATAATAAGATAGAACAGGTCTAAAAAACAAGAAATATTATGTTTTGTTGCTTAGTTATTGCTCAGTAAACTACTGGAGTTATTTCTGGACATTACAGGACAAAATTTTTTTTGAACAGCTATATTAACAGCTTTTATTCTACAATCTGCAAACATAAGTATGAGGTTTTACAATTTATCTGCTACATGTAGATTGACATCTGCAATAGTAGCAGGGCAGCTGTCATTCCACCAAGAATAGATGCAAGGGAAGATGATACAGAAAATGGTCGACAGGAAGGTAGGTGATTTGATCAAAAACCTTGCAAAAGGGAAGAGAAGAAAATTTGTGCAAAGCCAATTAAACAAATGACATTTTAATGAAATGCAGAACAATTTCTAGGAATTTCACTTTCTTTGCTGGAAATTGTATTTTTCCCATTGTGCTTATAGATCATTATTTTGCACACTTTATTAAACTTGACATTTTGTGCTGAGTTGAACAATTTTGAAATTTATTTTTTAATGAATTTCAAATGAAATTTCCATATAAATGAGTATTGCCTATAGATGATGCTGCTTTGCAAGTTCAAGTGTTCATGGACCCAAAATTGTTTGCTCATGAGGTTTTCAGCCAATTAGACTGCAACAGACTTCTGTGATTTTAATATCAGTTACAGATCATTCCAACACTCGTCAATGATCATGCAAAATCATGACAAATGTTACTGCTTCATACAACTAAGTTTAATAAGATTTACTTGTTAGTACAGAAAAATTAAAGTCCAAACTACAAACTTAAGCATTGGTAAGCAGTAGCAGCATTGAGCTTCATGTTTAGTCACAGTACTGCAGTTCCGTACAAGCATTAGTCGAAGCCAAAATGTATATGCCGTGTAAGAGTACTAGCTAAACAATCTAGGAGAACAGTAAAAGATACATTTAAAATTAGTAGTTTGTTTAGAAACAAAGACATCCTAGCTTTGAACACTCTAAAAATGTTTTCCATTATTTAACAGCAAAGTTACAAATACTTGTACTGTATACCCCAATACAACTACATCCAGAAAATTTTGGCTATATTATGTTTATTTAGTATTAGCACCTTAATGTTAAGTGAACTGACTCAATGCTAAAAGTGGTGCATTAGCTATGAATTTTGTGCAAAAAAAAAATTTGCAGAACTTTCACATTTACCTATATATCCGGCTAGCTACCCTTTTGGGGTATATAGTAATTGCTTGCATTTAAAATACTTGGTGGCATATTTTCAACACTGTAGCAGCTAACTGAGTCTGAGAGGAAAAGTTTGGTTAGTAACTAGAAAGAAAGATCAGTGGATGTACAAAGCAGTACAAAAACTGGTTGCTACAAACAATCCAGCCTTCACAAAAAAAAAGGCATTTCCCATCTCCAAAAATCCATGCTTTATCACTCAGCAAGACAGATAGACTCCCCACATACAACTATGATTCTTTCCCCACACCAATCCCCCTCCTTCCCCCCATCCCCCCCACAATAGCACAACGTTTTGTCTGCTCCATTCTGATCATTTTATTGCCCATTCATTCAATTACAATCACTCTACATTGTCAGCCGTGTCATTACCACACTACTGTAAACCACTTCAGCAAGTTAATACATGAAGCTTTGCATTTCAAAACTAGACACTTTAGTAACAATATTACAAATGTTTCAGCTCCAAAAATAACAAAACTGAAAATAAACTTTAAAGAATTAGCATCATAAAATTAATTTATTCCAAGTAAAAATACAAAATAATATTGGACATTGACCAGATATGAAAGTCTCTCCCAGAAATGACTATGGTCAGAAAAGCAGTCTGTAAAGAAAAATAACTAAAAAATGAAAAATATGTAAATATGTTTAAATCCTCTGGTTTTAGCAAAAATCTCTAAAAATAACAATGAATATTTGTATCAGTACAAAGGCTACATTGCTATTGAAAAAATACTAGCATGAAGAAAGGTACACATTTGACAGTAGAAAAATGATTTAGTGAATCACGATGTCTAAAGTTTGCAATGAAAATAAATCTTCAATAAAGATTTATGCTTTTGATTTTTTTTTTTTTACAAACAGTACAAACAGTATTGCACATTACAACAAAGAGTTGAGGTTAAGTTAGCCTTCAAAATTGACTAATTCAAGTCTCCAACAACAGAAGGCCACGTATGGACCTGATGCACCAAGGGGCTCTTATTAAGTTACAATTTGAACACCTTAGAAATAACATTCTCAATCTGAAGGACCTCATTTATATTCATTAACAAGTAAACAAATTGGGGCATGTTATAACTTAACATAAAAAGGATATTCATACAAAAATAACATGAACAGAAGAATTCTTTCACAATTCTGGTCAGTCGGCCTTAAAGGATTAATGATAAATACACAAATTAAGTGAAAAATATTTTAGTTTCACTTTCTAACAGCTTCCAGCACCAATGGAGATGTGTCTATCCCAAGCCGTTTTTTTTTAATAACTATTTCTTTACATTCCAGCTTTTAAATTCATACATTAAACTATATAAGGGGAAAACGGTTTATAAATGTTCACTTTTCCACATTTAGGTAGATTCTTTTTAAAGTCTTGTACTGTAGCTAACTACAATTCTCCATATTAAAGTTATAAAGCTCTAGCTCCTTCAGTTTCCAAAAAGCAAATAAGCATGAAAAAAATAAAATTACCCATCTGTTAAATCATTTCCTTGCAGAATTAAATTAATATATATTTTTAGAATAAACTTACTTAGAAAATATCAATTTCTTTCCTATATTTCAAAATTGAGGTATTGCAAAAGATCATGTCAGTCAGAAAGCACGCCTTAAAAAATCAGCTGACTGTTGAAAACTGTCCAGATACAAAAAGTAGTGCATAACAAATGTCTTATACAGATAATGAAAAAACATAGAAAAACATGCCTGGGCAAGAAAGCAATATCACAAAAAGCCCAGAAGTTAACCTCCAAAGGGATAATAAGCGATTTACCAGTAAAAAAGTAATTTCTTCTTCTTTTTCAAAAAAAATTCCATTTCAATGCCAATATTTGCAACTAAACACTGAAAAATAAACTAAAAAAGAAAATAAAGACTTACTGGACACAAACAGGACATCACAACACACAAATGACTCAACAATTAGTATCAAATCTACTATGCGGTGTCATATCCAGTCAGATTGTCCCCAGAGCTGCTGAAGGTCACTGTGTACAAACCCCCACTGTCGGTACACTTAGCCTGTGTTTGGTTGAAATCTGCAGCCCCACTATACATGCTAAAAAATATCCACTAATTAGCAGATCTTATTAGAATTCAAGCTTTGCAGGATATAACCAGGGATTTGGGGAGTTTATTCTGAACCAGAAAGCAGACATCTCCATTTTGACTTTGTGCAGACAGTTCTTTAGCATTAGTTTCCTTTCCTAATGTGCCTACTTGTCAATCCGACAAACATATTGGTAGTGTATGAGCTCTTTGGTTTTCTGGACAAGGTCTGAAGCTATGTAAATGGTGCAAGCAGCAGAATTTTTTTTTAAACTGAGCTCACTTTGTTAATACACTGGTTATGAAGCATCACTTACTTCTATGTCAGACATTACAACGGTTACTTTTATCACAGTACTATACATAATCAACTTAACTACATAAAAATTGCACAATAAGTGATCACCGCAGAGTACTTCACCTACCATCAACATAACTTCAAAAATATCCTACATCTATATGTATTTGTGATATTTGTAATGCTTTAATGGACACAGATTCAAACTCCATAAGCATTTACAATAGAGGCATGCCTTCCTCCAGTTATTAGCCAATTCTCTCATACTGAATTTTTTTTCTGTAGCCTACATAGTTTTTTTGTGCATTGGTGGGCAGGTTGTCAGCAGATATAACAGACATGATACACAAATTTATTGCATGCAGCAACCTGGTTAAGTAAACATGCAGTCAAATCTACTGACCTTCCTCTGGAGCTATCTCCATGCTATACTGCATTTTTTTCCCAGCAGCATTATGCTCCACATTTCTTTATAACCCTAGCCTGATAAAGTACTATGATATCTGCAATACCATTTATTTAGCAGCAAAAGCTATTGCAGCATACATTTACATAACACTAAGAAAGACCTAACCAAAAAAACCCCAGCAAAATCAAATTGAGCTTATGAGGTATTATTCTTGCAAGTCAAAATGGAGAGCAAAAAAGGCTTACTTTTAGGGTAATGGTATCCTTAATGATCCAAAATGTATAATTGCTGAATATCTGAGGAAAATGTTTTGCTACATATGCCACCTACAGTGTGTTACCTTTGGTAAGTCTTCTAGGGGCAAGTCTAAGTTTCTGAAAATAAGTGCATGCTCCTGTCATGGGAAATAGTTACATGAGCTGATGATATATCAGCTGTGACTCCTAAATCACAATGCAAAGTCCAATATTAAACAAAACAAAAAAAGGTACCAAGCAGATGTTTGAGAGTCAAAGTGCAGGTTCAGTACAATTATTCTGAAATTTTATATACCAGACAATCTTGGATGAGTTCAGTAATGTGACTTCAAAAAAAAACACAAACAAAAACATTCATTATCTGAGGAAGAATGCACCAATTTCCAGAACCCTCTCAGCCCTGAGGCAGCGCTCTCCACTCCAGTATGTCTTGGTAGACTATAAGACGCTTCAGCTCCAGCGAAATGGAACATGACGTGGGCGATCACCTCCTTCCTTCACAAGAGGCTTGTGGAACTCCCTTCCAGCACGTGAATGTATGCTTGCCCAGCAGTATTCACAGTAATACTGCAAACAGGTAACATTGGCACAAAAGAAAGGAGCAAACTTCCCACCACAACGGGCACCCTGGCATTCATCACACATCTGATCATCCAGGACATATGGCTTGACTTCCACCTATATCAGAAAGATAGGTCATTATTTTTCACATGGTGAGTAGTGAAAAATGTAGACAACTTATGAAATCTAAATGTGAACATGTTTAGGGACAACATTTCATGAATGTATTATTGTGTGACTTTGTTTTTCTAATGAAAACTCAAAAGATAAATTATTTTTATGTTTATAAAGCTCAATCTGGAAAACCAGGTTTCTTGAGGTACTGCAGCATATGAGACATCAATTTGTGTATTATATACTAACTGGAATATTCTTTCATAAGTGTGATGTATGCACAAACCTGGACCAACCTCAGGAAGTAACCAACTTAATTAGTATGAAGACACTCCTGGGCATTAAACTCCACTACCTAAAAGGTATACTCCATGCCCTTGCTTCCTCCAAGACGTGTTTAAATGATAAGAATTGACTTGTCCCCGAAACATTCCGACTAGACTATATCATTTCGCATGCGTTTCTTTTGGATCGATCCATCAGAAACAATACAAATACAGGGATGCTAGGAGAGGAGAGGAGAGGAGAGGAGTCCATCTAAGATGTGTGATGATGGATACAACTACAATTTGCCAATTGTTCCCCAAATAATCTATAGGACTACTTTATGGACCTGGGAAACAGTTTACAGATTGTACTTGGGAAACGCCACTTCAGACGATTTGCTTGAATAGTTTATCCATATTACAAAAAAAAAAAAAAAAGATGCTTGAATAGTTTTTGCAAAGATAGCATGCATGCAAATTATACATGGACATAACTTGTACAAATATGCAGAATTAATCCACACAAGTAAAAGCATTCTGTAAAGGATGTCTCATCATGTTTAATGTGTGACACAAGGCTTAAGGATATTATTAATTGCTAGGGTGTATGCATACACCCACTAAAAGCTTCATATATTAGGTTTCATACAACATTAGGTTCTTTACAAGTCTGCTCAAAGATGCAATTTAGTCAAAGCCTGAGGATAAAAGCAGTGAAAGCACATAGCTGCATTGTACCACCAACCTAGTGGAGTGTCTTCATTACAAAAGCACATTGCATTACATACAAAGGTGGCATCCAATAGATGTCATTAATGAGATAATTTCAACAGTTTAATTATACTATTCAAAATACCTACACCTTAAATCTGGAAATTTAATTTTTTTCAATTCTGAAATATTCAGAGTTTGATTTGTTTTACATGGTCAACATAATGAAATCAGTGTTTCGGAAAGTGAAATCTGAAATCAGATTCAGAATGCTGCCTCCAATAAAGTTGGTGGGTTAATAAACCATGGAGTAGATCATCTGATTCAATTCAAAGCCAGAATTGGTACATCAGGTGCTGCCAAATTTATCTGCTGCAATTAAGCACTGAAGTGCCAAAATGCTGATAGCCACTACATGGTTGGAAGTAAATTCAGGTGATTGCTGCCTGGTGCCCAGAGGCTGAGGACCAATAATGTCCTGACAAGAGCTACATTGCCCAAGAGCCTGTCTGTGATGACTTAGAGGAGAAGGTTATTTTACAAGCTGAAGTACACTACTTGGTGTGTACAATCACTTGTCAGAAAGATATCAGATGATTGTAGCCAAGCTTTGGTTGAAATATTGTGTGACCTGCTGCTCAGGAAACAGCATAGATTTTCAAAAAAACATTGGAATGAAGATTGCAGCCAGCAGCAAAGCAAGTATGTTCACTGCAGACCTCAAAGAAAGCTGTCCACACAGATCTAGCCACCTCTGTGGCCCAGTATTCCCCTCATCCTCCATCAGTTTGAATTTGGAGTCATCAATGGGATGTCCAATAGCAATACCGTAATCAAACAGGCTAAACAGCCAAGCACATTGAAATACTGTCAGAGAGCAAACAAGGAATTTAACAACAATCTCTACTTTTTAAGTGTCATAGAGAACAAAATAAATGATTGGGGAATACACAATAACATATTTTCAGTAAAAGGCAGAAATATCAAATGTATAAAATTTTAAAATGTCCCCTTCGGAGCAAGCAGAATACACATCTAGGAGGAAACCTTTTATTAAAGTAGGCAGATTGATGATGCCACGAGAGATCAAAGTTCAACTTGAATCTTAGGCGGTAATTTTAGTGAAGGAATTGCAGATTCCCATCGGTTCCATCCAAAGAAAGAGAAGCGTTGGCCCTGTCAGGTTGCTTCACTTATTGGCCTAGAAGAAACTGGATGAGCCTCTGGACATCACCATCCCCGCCACTCCAAAGAAAACTTATGCCTCTCCTCCACAGATCCCAGTCATGACACTCATCCAGAAACAACTATTCCATAGCATATGAAAAAACCAAAATTTAATCTCTTGCTTTCCCACATTATACTCCCATGTACCAGTCAGGTAAATTGTTCTTTTTGGTTTTGGGTGGCAACTGAGCAGAGACATGCAAATATGTCTCAAACTGTCAAAGTCAAGATGATTTACCTCCTACCTTAGCCAAAGCCAATTCCAACCCAGAGTTAAATACAGGGCTTAGGATTCAATGAGAACAGTAATCACAACAGTGGTCATTCTAAATTGAACTGTGTTTTTATATTTTTGAACAAAATGGATATAGTTAAGATTTGTTTAATACTTATTTTGAGCTATTGAGTGGGCAAACAAATAAATTGAGGCAGATCACTTCTGTTACAGGGAAAATGCTTGTTTTTCCACAAGGGATTAGCACAATGGAAACATACAACTTCATGTGAATATCATCATTGTTCTAAATTATCATCAAAAAAGCAATTAACTGGTCACATTGATTGCTGCAAGTTAGAAAGGAACTGGCACCTAGTCCACCATGCATTTAGCTACCAATTACTTTAGATAGGATAAAACTGTTACCGTATTGAACCACATCAATTCCCAGATGAAGAATGGCTTTTTACATTTTCTCCTTTACAAATGTCATAGAATCATAGAATCCCTACAGTGTGGAAACAGGCCATTTGGCCCAACAAGTCCACACCAATCCTCCGAAGAGCATCCCATCCTATCCCTGCAACCCTGCATCTCCTAATCCACCTGGCCTACACATCCCTGCACACTACGGGTAATTTAGCTTGGCCAATCCACCTAACCTGCACATCTTTGGACTGTGGGAGGAAACTGGAGCACCCGGAGGAAACCCACGCAGACACGGGGAGAATGTGCAAACTCCGTACAGACAGTTGCCCGAGTGTCTCTCTTACCAGAAATATCCTAACCACACTATCTAAACCCCTCAAATTTCATATATCTCAATCAAATCACCCTAAGCATCCTGTTCTCCAAAGAAAAGTGGATAGCCAAAGACTTTGCCCAGGGCAGAAATGATGATTATGAGGGGGCATAATTTTAAGGTGATTGGAGGAAGGTATAGGGGAGATGTCAGAGGTAGGTTCTTTACACAGAGGGTGGTGGGAGCATGGAATGGACTGCTGGCGGTGGTTGTGGAGTCAGATACATTAGGGACATTTAAGCGACTCTGGGATAGGCACATGGATGATAGTAAAAGGTAGGGTGTGCAGGGTAGTTTGATCTTACAGTAGGATAATAGGCCCACAATGTTGTGCTGACCTAAGGGCCTGTACTGTGCTGTACTGTTTTATTTTCTAAAACAACCCCAGCCTATACAATTATTTCTCACAGCTAATGGTAACATTATAACAAATCTTTCCAGACCCTTTCTAGTGTGATCAATATCCTGGGTCCCTAGCACTGTGAGGTAACAGTGCTAACCACTGAGCCACCATACTGCCCCAAATCTTGTTGCAAAATTTGTTAGCAATTGTACGGTCAAGAAAACACTGAACATTGCCACTCAATTTGTTCCGGGTTTGAGAAAATATACCCTCAGCCGAGTGAAGAATTACAATAATTTAGGGAAGAGGTATAACTTGCTTTTAATTTTCAGATTGATAATGCAGTTCAGAGGAGTATCTGTTCAATATTAAATTTAAAGAGACCTCATCAACATATACCCACACAACTTGACTGAAATGGGCATCCACACCACATATCAAAATTCCAATCTAATAGTTTAATAGAACCTTTCTAACAGGGAAGGCAAGAATAATCTATCTGAATGGTGGAACAGGCTCAAAAAAGGTCTACTGCTATTATTATTTTCCTTCAATTTCTAAACCCCGAATTCAGTTTCCCCTGAATGGGGAGTAGCGCAGCAGTAAAACAAAGCAGATGGAAATGCTACGGATAGTTCATGTGTTTGTCGTTGTTATCTCCAACTGCTATTACTATAAGCTCTTTGCTGGAAAAATGTTCTGGCTATGTTTGCTCACAGCAAGGTCAGCAACATTGCTGTCAAATCTCATCAAATACACACACTGGATTTTTACAGATGTCAACAGTCTGCTTATTTTTTTTAAAGTGAAGGATAGCAACAAAGGAAAAGATTTATGGCACAGAACGAGCCCATTCAGCCAAAACCATTCGAGAAAGTGTGATCCAGTCTCATCTCACCTTCCAACTCTGGGTCCCTTTCTCTGTAAGCAAGTGACAGCATCTGAAGTGAAGATTCTAAAGTTCTTTTTAAATATTAACAGAGTTTCTGTCGTCGTCAGGCAGTGAGTTCTAGATTTCCACCTTTCCCATCTCTTATCCCCTCCAATATTTCTTCCAATTGTTTTTACTCTATACTTATTGATCTCTCTCTTTCCAGAAATATCCTATCCACACTCCTCAAATTTCATATATCTCAATCAAATCACACTTAAGCATCCTGTTCTCCAAAGAAAACAACCCCAGCCTACACAAATTATTTCTCACAGCTAAAATTCACATACTTGGTAATATTATAACAAATCTTTCCAGACCCTTTCTAGTGTGATCACATCCTTCTTGTAATGTGATGACCAGAACTGTACTGTAGTTGCTGTCCAACTAAGGTTTTATCCAGTTCAATCATAACCTCCCAGCTCTTATACTTTAGATATCAGCCAATGAACAATGTCCTTCTGCCTTCCAAAATGGCAGCTTAAATCACTTTATGCATCTATCCTATAACCTTCAAGAACCTGTGGACCACCAAGGTCCCTCTGTTCCTCTAATTCAGCTCAACAAAATATGCTGTCTACATTTTCTTTCTTTGCTCTGCACCTATTACTCATGAACAATATTAAACAATACTACCACACAGAGGTTTATACTATATGATACAGTTTCCTGGATGCTATTGTTAAGAACTGAATGGCATACTTTCTGAGAACATTATGTAGATATGTAGAAACACACTGAATACGTGCATAATGATAAACAAAACATTTATGGTAAACTTTCTAGATAAATGCATACTACTCACTTTCTGCACACTTGTTTGTGACAAACTACACCTAAACCTCCATTAAGGATACAAGGAACATTAGGGTTCATGAAGAGCAGGTTAATATTAATAAAGATTAGTTTCTGACAGGTACATAGAAATTATAGAACAGAAACTGGCTATTCCACACAACACATGCGTCAGTGTACTTCACTTCATCTATCAACATAACAAGGGTACTCAATGGCAGATAGTGGAATTTGACTTCAATAATAATCTGGAAATAACACAGTCTAATGATGACCATGAAACCATTGCTGATTGTCAGGAAAAACCCATCCAGTTCACCAGTGTCCTCATGGGAAGGAAATTTAACCATCCTTATCTGGTCTGGCATACATGTGACCCACAACAAAGTGGTTGACTCTTAACTGCCCTCTGGGCAGTTAGGCATGGACAATAAATGCTGGTCTGTGACATCCATATCCAGTGAATTTTTAAAAAATAACCTTTACATCCTTTTCTCTCTCCTGTGCCTCACCTAGCTTCCCCTTAATGTGCAAATAAACAAATGCATTTAAAATTTTGTACATAAATTGATAAACATAAACAGTTATTTCAGGATTTTTTGACCATTTTAGCAGAGAAAGTCTCTGGAATACAAATGTATTTTAGCTAGAATGGGTTCATGAAGGTTTAAAACTCTACTTTCATCTATATGCTGCAACCACTGAGACAAAGGAGAAATGCTCATGAATCAGACAATGAAGATGTGTTCAGCAATCACTGAGGAGATAATGAGTTGTTCTCTCATCTCATCTGAACTTATTTAGTTTACAGTTTGATAAAAGGTCATCAATCGGAAACATTGATTGTTTCTCTCAACAGATGCTGCTTAACTGCTGAGAATTTCCAGCATTTTCTACTGATTTTTGCTGTTAACCTGCATATTAAACAGATCACCTGGAAGATAAAGCAGCCCAATGATGTCTCACTGAAATATTCACAGTATGTCTTCAGAAAGATCAGAGAAGTAGACATGTAAATAGCAGTTAGGATCCTAAGAATCCTATAATTATATCACTGGGTTACCTTACTGTCTAATGCCCCATTGCACAATATGAGCAAACTCTTTACTGCAAGGCATGGAACTGGTTATGGGAACAACCTGCACTGCCATTACCCCGAAGAACATATATCCAAACATTGTAATAACTTATGTACCAGAAAGAATTACAATAACCGGCTCCTTTAAAATTGAATTCAAACATGAGAGCGTCTAAATATATTTATTAATGCCATAATGGTTGTTTAAATGTACACTCAATAATTCTGACTGAAGTAAAATATGGACAAAAGGAGAAACTGTGGAGGCAATGTTCCAGAAAAGAGTGAAATTCTGATCTGTAAACATCTGTCATGCATACAGCCTCACATGATGGATCTCCATATGAGTAAAGGCAAGACAGATTCTTCTAAAAAAAAAACTTGCTTTAAAAGTAGCAAATTCTAATTTAAAATGTCTATTGTGATAATCCAGAAAATTCTACTCTTGTATCATCAAATAAGCAGCAATATTTGCTTATGGACAAAATAATATCTTGCTTGCATCTCATAGGTGAATTGTTAGCATTAAATGAAAATGAGCTAGTCTTATGCCTTATAGCATGTATTGGACTGAATCAACTAGGTTCTTTCATGTAACCATCACCGACAAAAACATTGGACACGTTACATAATCCAGGTAAGCACCAAATTATCTTTCGGAAATCTGTGCTTTCAGATGATACACTGTAATTTTGCTGCAATGAATGCAGACTGGAGGGCAATATCTACATTAAATACCACCGAACATAGTCAAGAGATACCTCAGCAGAGCAGACAATCAATCACCAGATAGACAGGTTTGTGCATATCTCATATCAATGAATAAATATTGCTTTAAGTTGCATACACAGGTATCAACTGTGGCCCAGTTGGTGGCATTCTTGCAGTTGTGTGGTTCAAATCCGACTCCAGAGGCGTGAACACAATGATCTAGAATGATACTTCAGTGCACTGGGAATGTGCTCTCTTTTGGGTTAGATGTTAAATCAAGGCCACTTGTTCCCTCAGGCAAATGCAAGCGATCCCATGGCACTATTTTGAAGAAAAACAGATACCCTCCCTGACACCCAGACCAATAATCCCTCAACCAACTTCACTAAAACAGATGATCTGGTCACTTACTTCACTGCTGCTGTTTGACTTTGTTGTACTTAAATTAGTTGCGTCATTATCTACACTTCAGAAATATTTCATTTGCTACAAGTTGCTTTGGGACATCCGATGAAATGAATAAATGCAACGTTTTTGTTTTTCTTCTGTGCCATGTACCAAGCAATTGTCAATGCTTTGACCATATACAATTGTATCTGTATCTAAAGCAAAACCATTTATTTCCACTTCAGCCATACATTGAAACTGGGATACAGACAGCAAGATGCCACTGTCACAGCTTTTGAAGGAGCTGTGCAGCTCAGACAACATTCAGACTCCTATGTTCAACTGCTCATCTGAGGTCATCAGAATTCCAGTAGAAGGAACAGTGAGTACCGTTACCTTTACTTGTTATTTTACAACATGTTCCTGTGCTCATAAGTGTAGGCTATCTGACTTATTATAATCCATTCCATTGGAAGTTTACTCGTGTATATATGAAAATAGGGTCACGAAAAGCAAATTTTCCAAAGAGCCAATTTAGGTTGTTTTGCAGGGCAACAAAACAGACATTATAACCAAAAATTTCTTCTAGCAGAGGTGTTAAAAAAATCAGTGCAGTACAGCATTTAATGGATAGACACGGACAGCATTTACTTGCAGAAAGCTGCAGTAATGCTCTAGACTTTAACTATCAAAGGTTATGTTTTAAAATTCAAACTGATGCCAGTTACAAAAATTGATGCAAATCATCCTTCGATCTACAATGATGTCTAGTCAGCTGGCAGTGCAACAAATCACTCACCCGTTTATCAATGTCTCCATGCTGGAGCTGTACGAAGCGAGCACTGATAGCAGCAATATAGCTCTGCTGATTGGAGAAAGCCACTCTACCAGCACCCTTCGGGTATTTCAGTTCAGGGTCCGTATCAATGCCCGCGTAGCAGACCCCTCCATACAACCGATCCATGATCATAGCCAATTCAACTGGAAGGAAAAATATAAAATCCTAAGCTTCCAAGACCATTTCCACATCTTTTCCCCATATAATTTGCATGATTTAATAACACTGTTCTCCTAAATCACAGTCATTACAGAAGGACATACAATTACAGTCCTCCAATTTCTTCAATAGACCTAAGTACTTCTTTTATTGCACGTTTATTTGCAGATAGGTTATAATTGAGATGTGTTTGTCAAAATGCAACTATAAACAAAACATGATGCAAAACTAAAAACTTTTTTTTAAAAAGGATAAAAGTCTTGTTCTTGAAAAATTCAGAAAAAACGTGTCTGAGAATACGAAAATGTATAGATTCAAGTTCAAGGAACGAGGCTGCTTTGCTCAATTTTTATCTATTTAGTCAGACTTCAGTCAAAAACAAACAGTCTGCAATATAAGAGTAGCATCAACAGCTTTCACATAAGGTCCAAAATTTTCAGTCTTGTTTGTTCCTTGTGTTTGCCTTCCCTAAGGACAGGATTTCTTCCAGTCTCAGCTGGATTATGGAAAAAAAAAGTGAGTGGAAAAATATTTGGTTAGGAGCTGCATTCATTTACCCATACTATTCAAACAAGTATCCTGAAAAAAAATCATATAGTGACAGATAGAGGATCTATTGAAATGGCTTGCAGTAATGTTTTAATAGACGTTAGGCATACTTAGGTTGGGGAATGGAGCACAGAGGAAAGAGAAAAACAAAAGAGAATCAGTATAACTGCAGCTATCAAACAAATGGACTACAACAGTTCAAGACAGCTCACCGCCATCTGCTCCAGGACATTAGGAATGAGCAAATGCTGGCACTACCAGTGAAGCTCACTTTCATGAGCTAATTTAAAAAAACCTTCTTGTGAACCAGTGGACATTTCAATTTTGCAAGCTGCTCATCGTTCATTATGAAAGTAAAAGTTATTCAAGTCTTACAAAACTGATGATATCTATGTGCAATGTTTTGATTTTTATATCAGTATTCACAAAATCCAGACTTTTTTTTTTAGAAACCTGTCAAGCCTGCTCAATAATTCAAAACAGAACTGTTCTAATGTCGCTGTATAAAATGTTAATCTCTAAATCAAATATTGCTTTCATTAGGAAACACAATGTTTTCTTCTCTATATTAGTAAACACATTTCTAAAACTATTACTCCATCCATAAAAAGTGTCAAACGCCAGTGAACAGGGAAAATAGCTGGGTTTCTTTGCAGAGTGCTGAGAACAGAAAACAAAAACAAGACTAATCTTCAGAATGCATAAATGACTCGTTTACAACAGCATGACATACATTTACATTTGAATTGTGTGCTTCCACTTGTACAGATATATTTTTTAAACTTAATGTTCCAGTTACAGGATGTGTCACACTTTACTTAAAAAAGTACTGGGAGAAACTAAAGATAGCATTCATCTTTCCTGTGCAATTTCAAATTTGGCACCCAGTTACAACGGAGACCATTTTTTAAATCGTAAACCGTAAGGGAGCAGATCTGTCCAAGTGGCACTGTGTAAGGAGCCGGGGGCAGTTGATATCAACACTATTGTTTGTCACCAGTGTAAATGCTGCTGGTCCCAAGGCAACACTCCAAAATTTCACCTACCTCATTCTCCCTGCCCCCGAGACCAAAGTGATATTGGGCCAGTTTAACTTGTGAATTTAAATTGTGCCGTGGGACAAGATTATTTTGGGTGTGAGCTGTAAAAATATTTCTGTTCACAAATTAGCGTGACAGTTGGCATTTAATACCTAATGCTTGGCTTTGTAAAACCACACTGATACCCTCGCAGCTGCTTTTATTTCCATGTTATAAATAGGCAACTCTTCCAGGAAACATTTTTGGTTTGAAAGCAGATTCACAACAGGCTACATTGAAAAAGCCAAGTGCTGTTAAAATGCAAAGTTTGCACACGCTACACTGGTGAGTGGAGGGGAGAGGAGGAAAAGTTCAGACTCTCTTGTCCTGCAAACAGAAGTCAACTATTATCCCCCTTTAATAATTTCTAAATTTGTCCCTGCCACAAACAATGTGCATGAATCTTTAATTACTTTTCCTTTTAAAAAAATGATTTTACTCAAGAGTATTTTTCTCTTCTGTCCTTGTACCCCACCACACTGGCCGATTCCCTTTCATTCCCTCCAAAAATCCACTATTATCTCTTTCCACTCACCCCACCAACAACAAAACACATATTTCCTCTCTGCCACTATCCCTTTTCCCCCTTCAATGTCTTTCTTTCCAATTTGATGGTAGAAAAATTGTACCAAAAAGAAAAAATGGTCACAAACATACGGCTGGTAGGACATATACTGCAACCCATTTTATGCACTCAGTAGACCTGAGCCAGTGAGACATTCCTGCAGGGCTTCCAATCTCTCACTAATTTATGCTTATTAATATAAGCCCTCATAACTCCTTTTTGAATGCTTACTAAATGCTTCCATCTGAAAGCTATATGTAACCACAAAAATATCAATGTCAATATGTACATTAACGTACACTGAACCTCAAAAAGAAAACAACATGGTATTACTCAAGAGATCAGGCAGCATCTGAAGTCAATGTTTTAGGTTAGTGATCTTTCTCCAGAAGTCAGCCTGAGAAATCATTTGCTATGTCTGTATGGATAATGTCTGGACAAAACATCTTCATATTCGAACTAAGCACTATGAATTCCACTCAGACAAACCCAAGAGTGCTGAAATTTGGGATCACACTTCACATTCTGAATTCCAGTCATCAAAACCTGTTCACTGGGGACTCGCTTCATCTTTACTCACCAGCTCGGAGAGGTCTGGGAACTCCTCCCACAAAGATAGTCTTCCTGGGATCCAGAGGTTGGGAACCATCCATCACAAAATCACTATCACTCAGGTTCCATGGTCGAATTTGAACCTTTAAAAGAAACAAAATTTGGCTGAATCAATTTTGGATACCATTTAGATTTAAAGCCCAAGCATCCTAAGCACGCATATGTTGTAATAACAGGTTCCAATTTCAATTTGTAAATGATTACGTAGAAACATAGAAGACAGGAGCAGGAGAAGGCCATTCAGCCCTTTGAGCCTGCTCTGCCATTCATCACGATCATGGCTGATCATCCAACTCAACTGCCTAATCCTGCTTTCTCCCTATAACCTTTCAATGTATTCAAGAAGTGGCTAAATATAGCACTTGGGGTAAATGGGATCAATATTTTGGCATCAACTACCTCCTGTGGTAATGAATTCCACAGGCTCACCACTCTTTATGTGAAGAAATGTCTCCTCATCTCAGTCTACCCTGAATCCTCAGACTGTGACCCCTGGTTCTAGACATACCCAACATGGGGAACATCTACCCTGTCCAGTCCTGTTAGAATGTTAAGTCTCTATGAGATCCCCCGCTCATTTTGTTCTCTCATCCAAATCATTAATATATATTGGGGGTAGCTGGGGACCCAACACCAATCCCCGTGGCACCCCACTAGTTACTGCCTGCCATTTTGAAAAGGACCCATTAATTCTTTGATTCCGCTGTACCAACTAGTTTTCTATCCATCTCAATACACTTACCCCAATCACAAGCACTTTAATCTTGCACAATAATCTCTTATGCAGGCCTTTGTCAAACACCATCTGAAAGTCCAAATATACCACATCGACAGGCTCCCCCTTGTCAACTGTACTAGTTACATTTAAATAGAATTCCAACAGATTTATCAAGCACGATTTCCACTTCATAACTCTGTCTGATCCTGCCACTGCTTTCTAAATGTTCCACTATAAAGTCCTTGATAACGGATTTGAGAATTTTCCCCACTACCAATGTTGGGCTCACTGGTCTGTAATTCCCTGTTTTCTCTCTACCTCCCTTTTTGAATATTGGAGTGACATTAGCCACCCTCCAATCTGCAGGGACTGTTCCAGAGTCTACAGAATCCTGGAAGCTGACCATCAATGCATCCACTATTTCTACAGCCACTTCCTTAAGTACTCTGGGACGTAGATTCAGTCAGCACGAGACCGACAAGAATGCATCACCATTTTTGACAAAAATGAACATAATAAATAATTTTCTGTGAAAACATACATGGACTTTGTTTCAAATTACTGGATTTACATCACTACAAAACTCTGACGCACAAAAATGTTATAAAGCTGCAGATTTTTATGTTACCAGTGCAACTGAGTACTTTCCTTTATTTTATAGAAAGCCAGGGATTAGGACACAATTAGTCAACAAAAAAAAAAAAAAGCTGATACAGGGATCACCTACAGGGAACAAATACCAGTCTGCTTTGTATTTGCTTATTGCTCTGAAAGTGACAAAGGCTTAATTATGCAGTTCACCATTTATTAACCAATCCCCAAGATCCAGTCTTCGGATTTTACAGAAAATAAAACATCCATCAGTAAATAGGTAATCAAAATGATACAGCATGTATTTGCATTCAACAGAAGATTTTTTTTGGGGGGGGGGGGGGGGGGGGGGGAGCTGTGGTTAGGTGAAGGAGGAGCCAACAGTTAAATAATTCCCTGATCTGATGGCTCATGAAATGACAAAAAGAGAACAGATGGTGAGCAGAAGCAAGCTGGAGATCCATTTACCGGTTTGTCCTTGATAGTGGGGCTGGAAACACACAGGTATAGCTTTCCATCTTCCTCAATACATGCATCTATCAGAGCTTGTACAGAGCTTTCCTCTTGAAATAGAAGGAAGGCGTAACCTATGAGGGTGCAAAATAAAAACAAAAGAAATAAACCTGTTGTTGAAGCAAAGTCTGCAATAGTTTACATTACAATAACAACTCATCCCAAGGTACTTCAAGGAAATTGAAACAGTACGATTAAGAATTAAGGAGGTGGTTAATGGTACAGTCCAACCTATTGGCTTAAAATGGTTCTTTTTAAAGAAAATGTACAAGGGCAAACAATATTAAGAGGCAAAATAACTGAAACTTGTTCCTGCAAATGATGAATATCAGGAAGGGAAAATGCACTAGATTTACTGTGGAAGTAGACTGTAATCTATCGGTTATGATATGGAGTTAGACTGTGAAAGAGGTTGCATGAGGCAAGGCTGTAGACAGATCTGTAAATGAGAAGAAGGAGGACAACGAGCTACTGAAGATTAACAAGGGCAATGAGGTAAATTAATCACAACTGTAGATTAGCTTAATGGTAATGGCTGTTGAATCAATAGGGTTTGCATATAGGGACATTCCAGAGGTGACTGTGCAGGATGTCAAGTCTAATAATTTATTTTTTTTTTTTAAAAATCAAGGACAGGCTAACCACTGGTACATTCTCAAATTTCTTTCTCTTTAAAAAGACAGAAATTTACTATTCACTGGATTTAAACTCAAACAATTCATCAAATTTTGGTGCATGCTTGAAATTGCTTCTTGTAAATAGGGCGCATAAGTTAACTTTTAAAAATCAGGTTCCAAATTGCACAAGCATAGATGGGAAGTACCATCGGGCCTTTTGTTCCATAAGCAAGGCAGTGCAACTCACCAAGTTTTGAAATGGCGCAAAATAATCTTCAGCTGCTAAGCTGTCAGCGGAAAAATTCATTTTCAGGCCTCTATCTCAGACTAACAGCAAACATTAATGCTTAATGCAATGAAGCTCCTGGGAAGGCAGGGAGCTGGAAAGCAGCAAAACGTGGCTATGTGTCAGGTGTGGGTTCATTCTGGTAAGACACTGCTTCATCTACTCATGCTCCAGCAGCTCAGCCAACCTTTCTGCAGGCAAACTAGGCGTACTTCATTCTTCTGCAAATGGTGATCTCTAAGCTTATCTCTCAACAATTTTAACCTTTTCCTCCTCTTTCGGCTGTCGATGAGAAACAACAAGACAAAGCAAAGGAGGCAGGAACTGAGGATGATGTGTCCAGCTTCACATCCTCACCCACCCAAAAGTATTTGCCTCAGAACAGAGGAGAACATAAGAAACAGGAGCTGGAGCCGATCATTAAATCCCTCAAGTCTGCGTCACTATTCAACAAGGTCATAGGCGATCATCTCCACCATTTACTTTCCCTTTTTAGCTAAGGTATTTAACATTTCCTGTTGATACAAACAACTACCGCCCCCACCCTCCCGACTTAAGTAATTCATGTGAATCGTAAATAACTGATGCCCAAGGACTGATCCAATAGGACCCCATGTGTTATAATCTGTTAACATGTAAATGCCCAGCTTATTCTTACACTCGATTTCTGTCCATTAATCAATCTCCAATCCATGGCAGTATGTTATCACAACCTCGTCAGTCCTAATTTTGATCAATAACCTTTTATGTGACTTCAAGCGCTTTTGAAAATCTAAATACACTATTTCCACTTATCCATTTTACTAGTTACATCCTCAAAAACAAACTAAGGTTTATTGAACTGAAATTCCCTTTCACTAATCCATCTTACTTCTACTTAATTCTATGATTTTCTAGATGCCCAAGTACCACATTTGCAAAGAATAGATTCTAACACTTACTGATGTTAATCTAGTTGACCTACACTTACCAGTTTTCTTTCTTCTGCCTTCCTTAAACAATAGGAACATGTTTACTACATTCCAGTCCTCAGGAAACTGTTCCAAAATCTAAGGAATTCTGAAAGGTCAAAACCAAGGCATCTATTATTGTTGCAGCTATTACTTTTAAAAGCCAGGGAGAGGGGTCTTTGGGTCCAGCCAGTTGGGAATGCTAATTTCTCCAGCACTATTTCTTTATTTCTAGAATGTGGAGGTGCCAAACATTGGACTGGGGTAGACAAGGCCAAAAATCACCAGGTTATAGACAACAGGTTTATTTGAAATCAAAAGCTGTCAGAGCACTGTCCCTTCATCATGTTGTTGGACTATAACCTGGTATCATGTGACTTTTGTCTTTGTTCCTAGTCACTTTTTGATGTTTCAAATTCTCACTAGGGGAGTTTACACTGGTTGCTACAGCAATCAAGGGAGCTGAAGAGCTCATAGGTCTCAAATTCAAAACCCCTATGATGAAAATATGAGGGTACATGCTGACTTTAAGATATCTAGATGGTACCAAGTTCCACCCTGTCCAGAACAATAATACTGTTTTTCACCATGACATAGAATAAAATCCCTTCGGCCCAACAAGTCCACACTGACCCTTGGAGCATCCCACCCAGACCCATCCCCTTATAACCCACGTAAGCTACACATTCCTGCACACTACGGGCAATTTAGCATGGCCAATCCACCTAACCTGCACATCTTTGGACTGTGGGAGGAAACTGGAGCACCCAGGAGGAAACCTACGCAGACATGGGGAGAACGTGCAAACTCCACACAGACAGTCGCCAGAGGGCAGAATTGAACCCAGGTCCCTGGCGCTGTGAGGCAGCAGTGATAACCACTGAGCCACCGTGCCGCCCAAACATCCTGGAATTTTTAAAAACCAGAAGAACTGTGGATGCTGTTTAACAGTTTATGCAACTCCAAGTCCAATTTCCAGTTAGCAAAATAAAGCCAGCCCATAAAACTGATTTTAAAGTTTATTTAGAGCTAACTTAACACTTCACTACCATCAAATACAACTTACTTGAAGTTTAAAATTCTGCTTTACCTAATCTATAGTATTTAGTATTCTAAATATCTAGATCAGATCCCTCATCTACCTTTCCCCTACATTGCAGGTCTCAAGCTACATAAATTTTCACAACTTCCTTGGGGAAGAATAATTTCAATGTCTAAGTAGATTAATACTCCACTTTTATAACACAATGGGTAGAGATTAGATGGCTTGCAGAAAACAAACAAACACAGTACAGTCGGTTCTGCTATAACGTGTTCCAGAAATGCAAATTGGCTATAATGCAACTGACGAATAGGGGAAGGCTATTTTTAAAACATGAGCTTGTGTTGGCTATAATGCGATTCCATCATTGCATGTCGACCTCACATGATTGTATCACAGGCTTTGCCCTGAGCATGCGCCATGGCTAAGTGCCAAAAGAGTCTCCACGCCAGCATCACGCGATCACCGCACTGTGAGCGGAACAGTACACCTTTAATTTCTGCAAATTTTGCTGTATTACCCACAAAAACGCGAGGACGTGACAAGAATGTTAAAAAGAAGCAGTCTGGTGATAAAATTGCAGGTGGTGAACATAAAAGAAAGGCTAGAACACTGAAAGAGAAGCTAGATATTATAAAGCGTTTGGAATGTAATGACAGAAGATGTGACATAGTTTGCATAACAGGAATAAAGAAGTCTACCTTATGCACCATGAGAAACAATGCAGAAAAAGATTAAAGCAAGCTGTATTGCTGGAACAAGTCTGAGTGCTAGCAAATCTGAGAGGTCATGGATAAAGAAACTTGAGGAGATGGAGCAGCTGCTAATTGTGTGGACAGAAGATCAAACGAAAAAGTGACCTGGGACCGCCCTTCTCTCCATAAGAGAGAAAGCCGTATCAATTTATGAAGACCTATCAAAAAAAAGCTGAAAATCCTGTAGTTGTGTCTGCCTTTAGTGCTAGTAGTGAGTCCTTTGCTGGTTTTAAGAACCACTATGCTTTTTATAACGTAAAGTTATGCAGCGAAGCTGCCAGTGCACACGATGGCATTTCCTCCCATAGTAAAATAAAAATTAATTAAGAGGGCTATCACTTAGATCCAATTTTCAATTTGGATGAATCAGCTTTACACTGGAAGCAAATGCCATGAAGAAAATACATTTCTATGAATGAAGCACAAGCTCCAGCTTTAAGGTGACAAAGGATCGTACGACTGTGCTGCTGGGTGCCGATGCCAGTGGAGACTTAAAGCTTAAGCCTGTGGTGGTGTACCACTCTGCCAACCCGCGAGCCTTGATAAGGTCACCTTAGGTCTATTCTAGGCGTCAACTTTAGGTCCAGCAAAAAAGAAAAAAGGGTGGATGATGGGGCAAATTTTTTCAGACCTTACTGATGTTTTGGAGGATGTCTTTAGGAAGTATTGCAGGAAAAAAAAAATTTGGATTTCAAGATCCTCCTCATCCTGGATAAAGCACCAAGCCATCCTCCCACCATTGGTGAGCTTTCTGAAAACATCCAAGTGCTATTTCTATCCACCAAAACAATCTCTCCCCTCCAATCCATGGACCAGGGTACAATAGCAGCTTTTAAAGATTAATACTTAAGGCGCACATTTAAGAGGCTGGTTGAAGCCACTGAGGGGGACAAGGACCGTGTTCTTCCATTTTGGTAGAGCTTTAACATCAAGAATGTAATTGACATTATCGTGGAGGCCTGCGGTGAGGTCAGTAAAGACCTGCTTGCATGCAGTTTGGCGGAAGCTTCTTTCAAATGTTTTTCAAGATTTTAAAGGTTTTGATCCGTCAGAGGAGCTCCCAAGAATCAAAGAACATTGTGTTGATCTTGTAAAACAAGTTGGATTTGAAGAAGTGGAGAGTGAGGATGTTGAAGAGCTGCTTGGGTCCCACCGTGAAGACCTCTCTACAGCTGATCCACAACAACTTGTTGCTGAGGGAGAAGTGGAAGCTGGAGATGAAGATGAAGAAGTCCAGGATGCAGCACCACGAGAGCTTTCCACTTCTGTTTTGTCTTCTATCCTGAGGGAAATTGAGAAGCAGTTGCAGCTGTTAGAGGACAACAATTACAATGCAGAATGCAACAGGATGGCAGTTCATGGAATAAGATCTTATTTGGCACCCTATGAACAGCTTCTTCATGAAAGAAGAAAAAGGACAAAGC